CCAGAGTGTTGTTCAGCATGGGGGTGAGTAGAAAATGAAGGCTAATCATGTTTTGGGTGTACTATTCCTTTAAGCAAAATAAAAAAGTTTCAAACTTTGACAGGAATTTTGCAGATTGACAGGCAATGTCAGAGCAGAGTGGAGATCAGACTTGATGGACTCAAAAGCTGATTAATATGCGACATATTTATAAATTTAATAGCATTTTTGCACACATTTAATGCACTTTAATGAATACATTTATTAAGTTCACAAAGCATATTTGACCAGTTAATTTAGGAAATTACAGGGGAGGCTCATGCTCCCTATTATTCAATAAAAAATTTGCCACTGGTGTAAATAATCTTATACTGGCTGCATATTTGCAGCTCAGCTCAGTTTAGCGAGCATAGTGTAAATTTGGGGTCAAGGTTTTTCTATGGCCCAGTCAAAGTTTACACAATCTGATTAAAACCTCTTAATGGGACCTTAACGGTCATTTTAGTAAACCAAATGAAAATCATGCTGCTAAGAAAGGTTAAACAAGCTGTTGTATCATCAGGTGTACTTTATTTTTTTGCACAAAAATGTTCCATAATGTTTTTTTTATCCTGTTCGATAAATTAAAACAGAAGATTTAGTTGTGATATTTTTTTATACCCGAGGTTTGGCTTAAAGGATTTCAGAACCCTTACAGAAAGATCTATCGTGATACATGAAAACCCTTAACTGAAAAAAGGTGTACCTTCTTTTTTCTTCGATATACACATCAATAGTATTTGAGCATGGTTTATAAAATAAAATACACTTTCCTGAGCAGAATAGAAAAGCTTTAGGACATAAACACAGTTTTTACGTCAGATCCCTTTAAGGTTATTTAACGTTTTATGTGAATCTGAAATCAAAAGCATGACATAGAGAAACTTTTCCCAGAGGCTGTTTTTAAAAGTGTCTATATGCTCATGTGTCTCTGTGTCTGCCATCTGAATCTGGTTTCTTTTATAAAAATTAGATTAGAGGAAGAAAAGAAGCATAAGTAAAGCCATGCATTAATATTTAAATAAAAAAGTATTTCATAGCCAAGGATTTCATAAAGACCTGTTGATAATTATCTACAGTAAGTCCATGATGCTGGCAATCAGTCAGCAGCTTTAACATTCATATCTGAAAATCTAAAATATATAAACTGCAGCTCAGAGATATCGGCAGGCCAAGTGTGCTGTAGCTGGTGCGGTCACAGAGGCAGACACTCGGGTCTGGGAGGAGTTCGTAGAGGCCATAGAGGAGGACTATTGGTCAGCCTGGTTGGGCAAACTCCCATGAACCTTCAAGTACCCTGCAGATGGTGTAGAGCGGGTTAACTGTTCCACAGCCAAGACAAAAACTACATTGGTCCTCCTGAAGGCGAGGTTCGACCATAAGCATGACCCCCCTCTCCAGCACCCTGGCATAGGCCTTAGCGGGGAAGCAGAGGAGTGAGATTCCACTATAGTTGGAACTAAGGGTGTGCAAAATAATCGCCATGACGATACATCTTGATTCTAATTCTTGAAGGCAAGAATCGATTCTTAATTTAAAAAAATTAACAAATAAAATACATTAATGGTTGGCGCACATCATCCAAACCAAGTGGAATACAACTTCCAGTCCAGCAGATGTCGCTGCGGATGTGTTGACGCCCGCTGCTTTGTGTCACAAGCATTTCCGGCCGCAGGATACTGAGACGAGCCATTCGTGAACAAAACATGGAGGTGCCTGAGAAAATTTGCCCAGCGGCTCCATCACATTTCAAGTCAGATGCTTGGATGCATTTTGGCTTTAAAAACAAAGAAGGTTAAAACGAAATTGATATGATGCACGTAATTTGCAAAAGGGGAAATGTCATACATTTGAATGTTTTCATTTCATTGGTTTAAAGGACCACTGAGGCCATGTAAACAGCACTGATTATCCTTATTTTGTTATTTTAAGTCTGATGAATCCTAAGATCTTTTTGTCAGTGTGTCCACACCAGCAATAGTAATATTTGTGTCCAGTATTTGTTTTCATGGCAACACCTCCAAAAGTCGTTTCAATAAATACAGCTATGTATGATTTCAGTCGCTTTCAGTTATGTATCAATTGTAGACACGATCCAGATCATACCCAGCCAGTCAGCCACTGGTATGGGCTGTATCTTTTTCTTACAGTGTTCAGTGAAAATATTGCAATGCATCGCAATATTTCAAGTATCATGATGCATCGTGATAGAATCACATCGTGGCATGTGAATCGTGATTCGAATCGAATCATGACTTCTTTGCCAATACCCACCCCTAGTTGGAACACAACCTCCTGTTCCCTTTCTAATGCAGGGGAAGCACCACCGCAGTCTGCCATTCCAGGGGACTGTCCTGGACCCCCAAGTGATGTTGTGACAACATCCACAGCTCTAAGGTATTCGCCGCGGATCTCGTCCACCCCCGAAGCCTCGCAACCGTGGGATTTTTGAACACCTTGGATCTGACTTCAGCCTGAGTGATGAACGAATCTGGCCCCAAGTACCCCGTCTCATCTTCCACCAGGGAAGGTGTGTTTGTCGGATTAAGAAGATCCTAAAAGTATTCTTTCCACCATTGAACAATGTCACCTTTCAGGGTCAGCAGCTCTCCACTCCCAATAAAACCACTGGCGCCGGGGTGTTTGCCATGATCTCCAACCAAAAGTCTTTCACCATGGTCTCTCCAAACTCCTAGGCCCAAGTTTTTGCTTCTATAACAGCCTCTGTAGCGTTATGCTTTGCCTCCCAATACCTGCATTCTGTTTCGAGAGTCTCACGAGCCAACCAGGTTCGATATAACTCCTTCTACCGCTTGTCAGAATCCCTTACTGCCGGTGTCCACTACAGAGTTCAGGGATTGACGCCACGACAGGCACAGCTACTTATAGTCACAGCTGCATCAGCAATAGAAAGAAAATTCCCACTCAGACTCCATGTCTCCAGTTTCCACCAGAATCTGGGAGAAGCACTCCCGGAGGTGGGAGTTGAACATGTCCCTGACGAAAGGCTCCCCCAGATGTTCCCAGCAGACCCTTACTACTCGCTTGGGCCTGCCAAGTCTCTACTGCTTCCTCCTCTTCCAGTGCATCCAACTCACATACAGGTGGTGGTCGGTGCACAGCTCCGCCTCCGTCTTCACCCGTGTGTCAAAGAAATGCGATTGAAGGTCAGAAAATATCACTTCAAAGGCCTAGGGTGTTCTGGTGCCAGGTGCGCTATTTGGACTTGCTTGAAAATGTTGCTTATTATGGGCAATCTGTGACTTGCACAGAAGTCCAGTGATGAAACACCACTCTGTTTCAAAACTGGGAGGCTAATTTATTATGTCCGAAATTTGCAACGCCATCTACTGTAGCAACTGATTTTTAAACACTAGCTTAATGGAAA